ACGTAAAGGTAATAAGTTAGCAAGAAATGAATACTTTTTTTTGGCTGGTTTGTTTGCTATTGTTACAATAACGACATTTATCGTTTTATACTCAAGAATTGCAAATAGAATCTTTCGCCATTTGAAAATAAGAAGACATCAGATTGACGAAAATAAAATGGATGCAAACGTAGAAGATGTGAATACAGAAAATAACATTACCGATAATAACAAAGGAAATCAAGAAGATTCAGCAGTATGCAATAATCCGGTGAATTAAAAAAAGACTAGAAGCAATGAAAACAATCACACGACAATTATGTCTAAACAAATCGGATCTGAAAAGCGACGAAAAAAGAACCAAGGAATTACGTATAGAATGGCAATAATGTTTATCATTATTACTTTGGTATTTTTAGTTTGTTCATACCAAATATAATAGTTCTTACTATTTCTGGAATCTACAAAGATTTTGTTGAACAACTTTCTACTTCACAAAGATCGCTTGTGATGTTTGTTTACAACATGCATATTATTAACAATATTGTAAATCCTTTTATCTACGCTTTCATGGACACCAAGTTTCGAAAGGAAACCAGGACATTGTTAAGGCGTGCAATAAATTGTCACTAATGTCCTAATGAACACCGAATGATATTTATCACATAATTTGTAATTAACATGAGCAACATGACCAACATGAGCAACATGACTGTTGACACTAGGGGAACATGATCTGCTTTTATTTCCGGATCAATTGACATCCCCAGTTTTTGGTGAGGGATGGTTGATTAGCTTTTTGCGTTCTGTGTAGTATTTTGTGGAATTGTTTGTCTTTTGGTCGTCTTTCGATTTTTGCCATGGCATTGAGAGTTTCTCTTCGACTTACGAGTTGTCTGTCTGCCTTTTTTCTACCTAAGATCGTATTCAATTCGGAAAATAATTTTCTTTTTCTTCGTTGTGTTCAATACTAAAGTATACATGGTGTTATGCGTGTATGATTATTAAAATGTTAATTCATACAAATGAGAATTGAATTACAAATGAATAATAATTAAGTGTTTTGGTCATCCAAAATATACACATTTTTTTCCCAGTTCATGGTAATCATGAATTGTTGTTCCTGTTCTTTTCATGCAGTTATATTCTTATATCCACACAAAAGGGGAGGCATTTGCTATGATACACTATTACTACTCTAGTATTATGACTGGTTGCTTTAATACTCCAGTGGCAAACCCGATGTCGCGAGAACAATAGGAAAGTCACTCTTCATCTGGAAAAATCAAGAAAAAGCAACAGTAAAATAATGCTGGTGACGATACTGATTAAAAGTTATTTCTAAACAAAAATCGTACATTTTAAAGAAATAATTTTTTACACTGTGTTATAAGAAAAACACAATGTTTCATGTTAACTATTTATCGAGACAACAGCTTTAGAAGCTTGTGAAACTGAAATTTAAAAAAACTTCTAACCTTTGCTGCATATTGAAATAAAAAAAAATTGGAAAAAAATCATGTAAACACAAAATCTTTCAGGTCACAATTTTCAGAATGTTCCTCATAGTCCATAGCATGTTACAATTAATTTTCCACAATACATTATTTTATTCACATCTAAGTTTTCGACTACACCGGTCTTCTCTTGTCTCGTGAACATTTTATATAGAAATATTGTTTTTCGTGAATATAACGATTTTAAAGTTGTGTCTGTGCAGGTTCAAAAATTGAAAATAAATAGTTTTACAAAGAAGGTTATCCGTTAAAAGATTTTACTATTCTGTTGTACAATCTTAAGAAAAGGTCGTCCAGATTTCTGCACATGAATTTGCGGTCCTCCTCGATTTATTCTCATTCAATGTTTACATCGCGATAAGAGGTCCGTTTGAATTTGCTTAGTAAATTAATTTTAAAAGTGTTAATCTCTGCTGCATATCAATCGATTCCTCGAATTTCCTCCCTTAACTTTTCTGATATAGCTACATACATATACGTATAATTGACATGATAGAGAGGTATACACCCAGAAGAAAAGTAAATGTAAGTTGGTATTCAAGGAATTTATTCGCATAGCATCATTTTAAGCACATTTTTCACAAACTTCCTATACCCTGCTGTACTCGTTGTTCACTATTATAGAAAATGATAACATTATATGGAAATTTTGTATTTATTTCAAATCATTTTTATTTATACTATTTATCAGAACGTTTTCTTACGAGTTCATAACTATTAGCGTCCTTGTTAAAACGAAACAAACATTGAATAAATCAAAATTTTCAGTTTTTACAGGGAGGTAATATTTTGAATCTAGATTTCCCAATGCACATAATGGCGCAATTCTAGTAGCAATGTTCCTTTAAAGTCATGATCTCATGGTAAATTTGAATGTTGAAAATATGTAGAACTATTTTTCATCGCTTTATACTTTTTTTAGTAATAAGTAAAAACTACCATAACACCAGAATTGTTACAAATATGATTAATAAATTACAACTACCTACGTAAACTGAACGCAGACTTAAAAGAAGATTGATAATATTCTATAAAGTTTTATTTATATGTTTTAAAAACTTTGTTGAAAACTATTTTTTCATCTAAAATCTTTATTGCACTTTTCTTTGCTGTTTTGGCAAATTACTCGACCTACAACTGTTGGCCGAGTATCCCTGTGAATTAGTCATTGGATAACCAATGAAATCATGTTTACAAGTAGTTGGTTTTACAAATCATAATTAATACATAAGTTTTTGGAATATATAAAGTAATATGATTACGGAAAATGTACAGTTTGTTCCGCTTTTGATTCTTAGTTATAGTTATTATAATAATAAAAATAATAACAATTTCTTTTTTAAAGATAGTAAACACAGTTATTGCAACAAACCAATTTTCCTTGAGGCCCATGCATACAAATAACAATACTACAGATATTTACACATAGTTAATTTTCATCATATAGTTCAATGTATCAATCACTATAAACATGATCAAAGATAAAACTGTAAAAGAGGTACATGTAGTAAAAATTTAAAATTATAATAAACAAAGCAACATAATAAATTATCGAAAACAGAAATTATCAGGACATTATTTTTAAGTCATTCATTGCCTTATTGTCATACCTTCTGAAATATTGTTACCAATTGGCAGTAGAACAAGAGTTAAACGAACTAGAAAGGAAACACATTAATTTTTTTTTCACACACAATGGTTCGGTTGAAGATGCTACCAATAGCTACAGTACAGTCAACCACAGTTGGACAGCAATAGTCTCAGTTCACACAAGACACTTATTTTGTAAATATGTTGATTTTAATCACGTTTTGTGATATACATGCACATATTGTTAAAATTATCTTGTATACATGCTAGTCTTTGGCAATTACAAGGAGAAATAATTGTTTGTAAATACCGTGCATGCGCAAACGACAAGTAATATTCAGTATCTTGCAGTTTTATTGCTGAATAAGTAGAAATGGAGATGTGGGATATACGTCAATCAGTCTACAGCTCCTCAACAAAAACAACAATCTTACGACATCTAAAGGGCAACATACAGTCTACAATAACAGATCGGTATATTATATGTCAATCTCTAAATTATCCCAGTATATAAAAGTTGTGAATACATTTGTTTCATTAAACTTTGGTGACTTGTTTATATTTAATTAAATAAGCTGCCTTATTTATATATAAATTTCTGATTTCTGAAATTGCATAGTTATGCATGGAACTTTATTTGTTGAAAAATCGTAAAAAAATGTCAATTTTTCACATTTTGGACGGTTATAGAATTTTATTCGTTCAAAACTTTTATATCATTTGCCTTGGTAGATATTGAAGATACTTGGTAACGTTGTCTTTGATGTTTATCACCAGAAGGCGTTTTTTTTTTCTGGGACCTAATGTAACATTGTTATTTTAAGTCCCAGGTTTGTAAAGACTAAAAAGACTAATTAGTAGCAACGACTACTCGACAATAAACATCCCCGAGTAACGAGTATAATACTGCTTGAGTAATATTGTAGGTATATATACGGTTTGCTGATCTGTGTTATAATGTCTTTGATTCCAAGCAATGATGTCCTATCTATATGAAAATGTTTCTTTACTGCTTACCAGTTAAACTAATTAATAAAATCTTATGTGTAGGACCTGTAAGTAACCAAAGAGGGAGAAAGCTTTAAGATATACCTGACTTTGCGGTATGTGCTTTGCTCATTGTTGAAGGCCGTACGGTTACCTATAGTTGTTAATTTCTGTGTCATTTAGTCTCTTGTGGAGAGTTGTCTCATTGGCAATCATACCACATCTTCTTTTTTATATAAAAATTACTTTGAATTAGACAAAATATCATAATTATCTCTAAGGTAATAGCATAAGTGAGTTACATTGTGCATTCTAGCATTCAATCAGCAGCTATGGTCACATAAGCTAGCTTCCTGTAGCAGCAAACACATTTAAAACAAAAGGTATGTTACTGCTAAGAAATGGGAAGTTTACTATTGGAAAGTTGAAACCATCACGTTTGTCATATATTTTAGTTTAAAGTCGTCTATAGGTGTTAATAGCGAGCAAAAGATAAAAAAATACAGCAGACCTTCTACTTTCAGTAGCATCCTTAACCTCAAATTCACTGGTATATATGAGATGCAAACATCTATTGAAATGTGGCACTGGCAAGGAGTACATTATATTCTAAAGAATATTTCAAATAAAGACACAATTCTTCGAATTCTAGGTAGGGAATATAAATTTCAGTTTTGTTTTATTTCATATCAAATTTATAAGGACATTTTTTTCTACTTGTAAGGAAATACAGGTGTGTTTCTTATTTCTATGTTAATTTATATATTTTGTAAAGGTAAAGCAAGCTAATAGTTTGAAACAACCCAAACTTGGAGTTAAACTTGTCAACCAACATCCACATGGAGTATTAATATTTGATAACGCCGTTGTTTGTTAAATATATTGTGCCGCAATATTGAAATATTTGAAAGATACTAGATTGTCATCATGAAAAAGTTGACAGTTTTCGAATGGAACGATGAAATAATTGTCATTCTGCTACCAAACATTGTTGTGCTCTCTGTTTATCTATTTGTTGGAATATGTGGAAACGTCCTTGTTCTGTTGGTTTATGGATGCCAGATTAAAAACTCCTCTGACGAAAGATACTTCATAATAATTTTAGCCGCTTGTGATTTGATAGCTACTTTGTATTTTGGATCGTTCTCAATATACAATTCAATAAACCAAGTCACCTATTCAAACTATGTATTATGTAAAATAACATCTTTCTTTTCTGGCTTGGCCACTTTCATTCCAACATGTATGTTACTTATCATTGCAATTCAACGATACTTCAAAATATGCATGAATCTGAATCATTCTAAGACAATTCTATTTAAGAGAGTGTCATTGGTGTTGGCAAATTTGTTTTCAGTTTTGGTTGCAATGCCATTACCCTTTGTTTCCGAATTAATCCCTGTTCACAGTTCTAGATACCGAATTACCGGAATGCGATGTGGATCGTCTAGTAAAGGGAATAATTTAGCAAGAAATGTATACTTTATTGTGGTTGGTTTGTTTGTTGTTGTCACAGTAACAACATTTGACGTTTTATACGCAAGAATTGCATATACAATATTTCGACATTTTAAGAATAGAAGACTTCAGAATGATAAAAAGGGGAAAGAAGCCAACATAGAAGGAAAAATGTAGGAAATAGCAAAGAAAATCACGAAGATTTGTCTGTGAGTGATTTCCAGATGAATTCACATGAAACTAACTGCAATGAAAAAAATCACACGGCAACTGTTTCTAAACTAACTGAATCTGTAAAGCGACGAAGAAAGGACCGTGAAATAACGTTTAAAATGGCAATCATGTTTTTCGTTTTTATTTTGGTATTTTTTATTTGTTATTCACCGAAATTAATAATGATAATTACTTCTGGAATCGACAAATATTTTGTGGATAGACTTCCTAATAATTATGAAAGATCGGCTGTGTTATTTGTTTATGATATGCAGATCATTAATAACATTGTGAATCCTTTTATCTACGCTTTCATGGACACCATGTTTCGCGAAGAAGCCACGACATTGTTATAGCGTGTGCTTAATTGTGACTAATGTTCTACCAAAGAAATTATTGTTTTTTGATCTGCACCATACTCAGACATATGTCTTTGGATTTGACAAAAAAAGACAAGAACTTCCCAATGTCAGTTTGTTCTTAGTTCGCCTGCAGTTCGTCCAGTTTCTTAATATCAGGAATTTTTTACGGTCCTTTAACTGCAGGGGACGAATCAGACGGGGTGTAACACATAGATACCTTATTAAAATTGGATATCAGATCTTTATTATCACAGTGGTGTTATTTATAGAGCATATTAATTAAGATATGATTGATCTTAACTATGAACTAACTCTTGTCTTAATGGTTATGAATTTAACACTATACTTGAATATTGTCCTTATCGATACTAACAATGAATATGGATTTGATTTTAACATAGCAAAAAATGTATCACCATTCAGATATGAACATCTTTTGTCCTATATCCCGTCTATACAATGTACTTGTATTTTGCTTCACGGTTATGCTTTTCACTAAATGTTTGTGACGTCTTTAATCTAAATACTTTAGATGTGTACTGATTGATACTCTTGTCTGAGAAAACATTATTTATTCATGTTATTTTTTGCTTAGAAGGAGCTTCCAGTATCTGCCAATACTCATAAGTCAGTACTTTGTGTCTTTTGTCTTTTCTTTTTGAATTGTTTTTTTTTCTTTTTCAGGTTCGTGCTGATCTGATGAGTTAATCCCTCTCCAACTGACTGTTAGTTTATTCTCATGTCGTTCTGTTACACTTCTGTTCAAAGTCAGGGAAGGATTGAGCGCTCGGAATTTGATGAGACCGTCGTACAAGTGAGAGGTTTAGCGCTATAAAACCAGGTTCAATCCACCATTTTCTACATTTGAAAATGCCTGTACCAAGTCAGGAATATGACAGTTGTTGTCCCTTCGTTTGATGTGTTTTGTCATTTGATTTTGCCATGTGATTAGGGACTATCCGATTGAATTTTCCTCGGAGTTTAGTATTTTTGTGATTTTACATTTTTTTCACAAACATCTTTACCCCGCTACATTCTGTATGTGGTTGTCGTTAAGTCAGTAGCATGTAATTTGGCGGTTGTTGGGGGTTGCTGTCTGTCATATTTGATTTTCGTTTTCTCGTTTAGATTTTACACATTTTGTAATGACGTGGTCTTTTATATCTAATGTACACTGCCATTCAAGAAAAAAACACCAATTTGAAACGATTAAAGAAATTGTTCAAAACAACAGCCAGTTATTTAATATGCTCATTCACTGTTAAATGTACATGTAAATTTAAGAGGAACGACACATACTACTGAAACAAGATTTAATCATTGATCTCAATAGGGAAAATATCAATATAAAGGATAAAACTCGCTTTTTTTAATAACATAAAAAGTATCGAAATGAACTACAAAATAACCTGACATGAATAGGAAGCAGATAGTAGCCCTTAATAGATGTTTTTTTTTTGTTTTCAATATTTTAACTATATGGTCATCCAAAATTCCTAAAACATTTTTTTCCAGTTCGTAGTCTCTTCTTACAGTACTTTCCATCCCCAAAAAGGAGACACTTGATTTGGTACACTTACACTATTCTAAAATTAAGACTGTCAGCCAGAAGGCAAATATACATATGCAAAAAGCTAAAATACACAAAATAAAGGAATACCTTGAAACTTTCAAAAACCACATTCAAAATCATCAGAGACAGAAATGTTGACTCTTTCGTGTGTTGCAGGCATTGAAAAAGGTCATACAAAACACCATAGAGAAGAGAGTACCGTCAAAAATGACTTCAGGAAAAAAAAAACACATTTTTACCTATTGTGTCTGTTTGTTTTGTTCACGCATCGTTGTCAATATAATGTCATACAAGAGAGAGGTTTAGCTAGCTATAAAAACAGGTTCAATCCACCATTTTCTACATAAGAAAATGCCTGTACCAAGTCAGGAATATGACATTTCTTATCCATTCGTTTGATGCGTTTGAGCATTTGATTTTGCCATTTGATTAGGGACTTTCCTTTTTGAATTTTCCTCGGAGTTCAGTATTTTTGTGATTTTACTTTTTACCACAAAAAACCTCAATAACTTTCCTAATAAAGGGAGAAGTCCATATTACACCATGGAGATGTCCAAATAAGCGTCAAAATACTGTTAAAAAACTTAAAACGCGTAAAGCCACTGGTCCTGTTTCAATACCAAATTTCATACTTAAAGCAGCAGCAGAGGAAGTTGTTCTCCTTCTTACATCCCCGAACACTGGCGAAATTCTAAAAGATTGGAGAGATACAAATGTGGTTCCAATTTCAAAATAAAGTAAAAGCATTTATCATACAAATACAGACCTCTATCTCTTACCTCCATCATATACAACGTCTTGGAACACATTGTACATAGCAACATAATGAATCACTCCGACTAAACTAAAATTCTTACAAATGTACAACACGGATTCCGCCAAAGACAATCATGCGAGTCTCATCTTAACATAACCATTCACGACATCACATCAGAATTAAAAAGGAATTGTCAAGTAGTTACTGTTCTTTTAGATTAAGGTAAAGCATTTTCACAAGGTGTCACATCACCGCCTACTACAGATGTTGGAATATGCGGCGTCAATCTTAAAACCAACAGATGCATTCGCTCCTTTCTACATAACAGAAAATAGAGCGTTATACTGTCTCGACGCAAGTACCAGTACTCTCTGGTGTACAGTCAAGTCACAGTTCTGGGACCATTACTGTTCCTGGCCTACTTCAATGACATGCAAGAAACAACAGCTACATTAGAGACCAAATAATTTGCCGATGACAGCCTTCTCTTTCAAACCATGACCAATAAAGCAGACAATACCCTTCTACAGAGATTTAACATCATTGGTAGACTGGGAAAATAAATGGCAAATAAGTTTCAACGCCACAAAATGACGTGTAATAAGAATATTACAGAAAAATCGACGGTGATACAAACATCATACAAACTCCAGGTTCATATAATGGATACAGTTGAAGACAGCAAATGCCTTGTAGAAGCAATCAGTAACAATCTAACCTGGCATAGTTATATCAATAATAAAGTTGGCTAAGGAATAAGAATTGAACCTTAATAATTTATCAACAGAAACCTTTAAGGCAGCAGCATATATATGGAAAAAACATCATATAGAAAATATATTTATAGAAACAATTCATGGAATTCTAGAATATGAATATAAATGTCAAATTCATTAGTAAATTCTTCCTGTACTGGTAAAGAAAATCACTCGATTTTAAAGAACAATTTTAAATTTAGAAATAATTCTTGAAATTCTAAAATATTTATATAAATTTCAGTCTTTCATCATGTCAAGTTTATAAGGAAATTTAAATAGTAATTGAAAGCTAAAGGAAGCAAACATTTTGAATTACCGTGCTTGGAGTTAAACTTATTAACCAAAATCCCAATAGAATATAACTCTTCGTTGTTTTGTAAATATTTTGTGCCGCGACATTGAGATATTGATAAATACTAGATTGTCATCATGAAAAACATTACAGTTTTGGATTGGAACGATGAAATTATCGTTAGTATGATTCCAAACTTTTTTGTGCTCTCTTTTTATCTATTAATTGGAAGGTGCGGAAACGTCTTTGTTTTGTTGGTTTATACATGTCAGATGAAAAACTCGTCAGACGAAAGATGTTTCACACCAATTCTAGCCGCATGTGATTTGATAGCTACTTTGTATTTTGGATCATTTGCAATATACAATTCGATAAACCAAGTCACCTTTTCAAACTCTGTATTATGTAAAACAATATATTTCTTTTCTGGATTGGCAACATTCATTCCAACTCGTGTGTTACTTATCATTGCAATTCAACGATACTTCAAAAAGTTAATGAATCATAATCAGTCAAAAGACACTTTTATTTAAGAGAGTGTCATTGGTGTTAGCAAGTTTGTTTTCAGTTATTGTTGCAACGCCGATACCGTTCGTAAGTGAAATAATTCCTATCCACAGTTCTAGATACAATATCACCGGGATGCGATGTGGAACGTCACCGAAAGGTAATATTTTAGCACGAAACATATGCGTAATTATAGTTGGGGTGTTTGCTGTTGCTATTTGTACGACTTTTATAACCTTATACTCAAAAATTGCATACAAAATGTTTGTTCACTTCAAAATTGGCAGTAATCAGAACGATAAAAAGGTAAAAGAAATCAACGAAGAAGCCAATTATAGAGAAAAGAATGACCAAGAAGAACATTCAGCTGTATGCGATTCTCAGATGAATTCAGTTGAAAAGAACAACAAAACTTGTCAAATACCAATTATTTCTAAACAAACTGAATCCACAAAGAGACGAAAAAAGGATCACGGAGTTACACATAGAATGGCTATTATGTTTTTTCATTATCACTTTGTTATTTTTCATTTGTTATATACCTAAATTAATATTGATCCTAACTTCTGGAATCTACCAAGATTTTGCGGAAAAACTTTCAACTTCGCAAAGACCGGCTGCGATGTTTGTAAATGACATGTTTATTATTAATAACATTGTGAATCCCTTTATCTACGCTTTTATGAACACCAAGTTTCGCTCCGAAGCACCGACTTTTTTAAAGCGTGCAATTAATGGTTGAAGATCTCATTCGTTACAGGGATGGGACATACTGTGGATTCATTTATTTTGTGGGCTTCAATTTTCGTGGATACAGAAAAAAAGACATTTCGTGGGATAAAAAAATTTGTGGATTGCTGTTTCACAAATAGAAAAAAAATGTTTCAGATACTTTAATTCGTGGATCTCTGTTTTAGTGTTGTCATTTTAGCAGTATTTTTAACATTGCCATATAAGCGGGAGGTTTGGTTAGCCATAAAACCAGTTTCAACTTACCATTTTTTCTTAAAATGTCCTGTACCAAGTCATGAATATGGCAGTTGTTATCCAAAGTTCGTTTCTATTATGTTGTCGTTTGCTTTTGTTGTAGTTTAGTGTTTCTGTTGTTCCGTTGTTTTCCTCTTATAGGTAATGTGTTTCTCTCGGTTTTAGTTTTTTACTCGGGTTTGTTTTTGCTTATTCGAATTATGACTATTGAACAGCGGTATACTACTGTTGCCTTTATTTGATAATAAAAAACAAAAAAGATAGAAATTCATTTAAAATGCTTTGAATTGTCAAAATCCTCATTTGATCATTCTAGGTTAAAAAATTTTATTTAAAACTTCGATTGCAAGGATGGACAAAGGCAACTAATTATTTGTTTGTTTAACAATTTATAAATTCTCGCCGAAAGGTATCAATAAAGGTGCATCGGTTAGTCTATGTTTTAATATCTTGATTACAATACAATGAAATCTTACCCTTGTGGTCAATCATGTATAGTTACTTAGTACACGGAAAAAATATGTACTATGAAAATCAGAGGGCAAATTCAAGCAATTTGATTGGACGAGAAGTTGTACGTATGTGGTAAGTGAAATTTAATGAAACTTTTCAAAAACAATTTACTTAGGGGCAATATCCCGTACTTAATCCTATTGATTTTTAATCACCATTTAACCAAATTATGAAACGGTAATTAACAACTTGCAGTTATTTAACAAAAAATTAAAATTAATTCTCACTGATATTCTACAGATTTCCTAATTCATCTAACCAAAATATTTTTATAATTTATTTCAAGAACACGTTTTAAGTTACCATGTTTATTGCAAGTCAACGATATACTAGAATTGCACAATTAACTGGAAATAAACATCCGGCTGAATACACATTTCTCGGAATTATTCTTCTTTGAATTCTTAAATTTGTGGTTTGCTGAGACCCACGAAACCCACGAAAATAGATATATCACGAATAAAAATGAATCCACAGTATTCAGCATGTCTTTCTGTCATAGGAAACTTTGAGAAAATGTCATATTTTTTTTAATTTTTTTTTGTGTTCGTGTAGTTTCTTAATAGTAGAAATGATTCGTTTTAATGTGTTTGTAAATACTAGATGTTATATAAAGTTCTGTCAAACAGACCGTAACTTAACAGCACTGCAAGGCGATACTATTTTGTGTTTGGAAGAATGGTGAATTAGGCTATTAATTTTCAGGGGCCTCGGTTACCGAGTGGGCTAAGTAGTCAAACAACTGTATTACTAGCCTGTTAACACTGAGGTTGTGAGTTCCAATTCCGCACGTGGCAGGTGCGCTCGAGTCCAATCTTAATTGACCAAGATTTTTAGTTTCCTATCAGAGGTCGATGGTTCTCTCCGGGCACTCCGGCTTCCTCCATCAATCAATAAAGGCAACAGTAGTATACCAGAGTTCAAAAGTCATACATCGATTGAGAGAAAACAAATCCGGGTTACAAACTAATACCGAGGGAAACACATCAACTATAAGAGGAAAACAAATAAACAACAGGAACACTGAAGTGCAACAAAAACAAACGTCAACATATATCATGTATATAGAAACGATCTATTTGATACCAACTGCCATATTCCTGATTTGGTTCAGGACATTTTAAGAAAAAATGGTGAGTTGAACTTGGTTTTTTGGCTTACCAAATCTCCCGTTTATATGACAATGTTAAAAATATCGCTAAATTGACAACACTACGTGACAGAAATACAGCACAAACACACGCAAGAACACTCATCACAGAGAAACGCACACACAAATAATATAATAGTCGACACAACATGCAAACCGCAGAACAACAACGAACCTCTTCCATCAAAGACAGACACCACAAAGAGTGACGCACTTACGTAACGAACATGCAATCTCGATTACTATTGCATTATCTCAATTAATTTCACAATACCAGTCCAAATAATTTTCATGACAATGATGGTATTTTATAATTATTTGAACTACAAACGATAAGACATAACACATTAAAAACTGACCGCCACGAAATAGCACAACAGTGATGAAAGTGGCATTAAACACCAATCCATCAATTAATCAATATCAATTTTCAAAATACATGTATGCAGTGTCAGTGAGTGAATTTATGTCATCCAGTTTCAAATACAGCAAAGTAAATTATAAAAAACTGTTAACACAGAGATATGTCTCGCCTTAATATTATTTTGATAGTAAAATGCAATTGTTGAAAATAAATTAGCTATGCTTTAACATGTAAGTTATGCAAAATATTCAGTCAATGAACCATGACTGAAGGTACAGGGCCAAACATTCTCCATGAAAATGTGATTTGCCAATGCTAATACAACTGCATACCAAATATCATTGACCTACCACTAGCGGTTCACCATAAACGGACCTAATCACAAACTATACATGTTAACTTAGCAAAAGTTTCAAAGTCAATAGACCATTACTGAGGGGGCAAGGCAAACTATACTCCATTGAAATTAGATGAGCCAATGCTAATAAAACTGCATATAAAATATCATTGACCTACCACTAGAGGTTCACCATAAACTGACCTAATCACAAACTAATACATTGTTTACACCACAGTCACCGCCGCCTCTGCCGCCGAAAACAGCATACCTATGTTTCGCTTTTTATCTCCGTCAAGGTGAGAAAGAAACTGATTTTTGAACATATTCGATGATTGTACAATTGCTTGAAATACAGTTATTTTTTTTCTTCACAACATTTATAGGACCTAGAAGAGAGGCGTTTGATGATGTTCAACAGTGCAGAAATGCACAATATTTCTTTTGATTTCCGTCATAACTATGTTTTGAAATCTTTTTATTTACAATTTGTTCTACGGTTGTGCTTTTACACCACTGTTAAAGTTTAAAGGGATAGTTGAGGGCTCACAAACATGTTTAATCCGCCCCATTCTTTATGTACCTGTGGTCTCTGGTATATAATTGACTCATTGGCAAACATACCACATCTTCTTACTTTTGTCAATGTGGAACAGGATAATATATTATGTCCGAGGTATAAATACACTTATACGATCAACATATTGACAAACTATTAAATTTATTGTTGCACCACTAATTGACACAACACCTGTCTTTTATTGAAAACTGTACGTGTTTTGATAATTTGTTTCGCTGAGTTGCTGTTTTTGTTTACCCAGTATTTCCCTTTGTTTAAATAATCACATCCTATTAAAAATGTTTCTTTAACACGAATATGTTGTATCTTTATTTTTTTTCTCGGTTTTCGCGTTTCTTTCCAATATTTTGTATTTTGTGTAAAGGTAAATAATTTCATGTTGGAGAAACGTGAATATTATAATCTGTTTAATGAAATTTACCAGTATTAAGAGCTAAAGTGAATCAAGTGTAAATAAATTATAAATCTGCATATACCATTAACAAAACAAATGACGTGAACGAAGAAAGAAGTAAACATTTGAACAAAAAAAAAAGGTTTTATTCAAATAAAAAAAAAAAAAAAATACAAATTAATACGAATTAAAACGAATACACTTTAATTAACTGCGAGTACTCTTAAAAAGGAACCTTGTGTCTATTGTCTTTATTTTGTTGTTTTTTGCTACGTGTCAATCTGGTGAGTTTATTGGTTTCCAGTAAATGTTACATTTTATTCTAATGTTTTGATAATATAACACTAATTTTAGGGGTTGTTGTTGTTGAGCGGTTACAAACATGTTTTACCCCGACGTACTTTGTAAGTGCCTGTCTCAAGCCACGTACTTGTAATTCAGTGGTTGCCTGCCGTTGGTTGTTGTCTGTCATATATGTTTTTGTTGATCGTTTTGTCATAAATCGAATCACATTTTGCCATGTCGGGCCTTCATAGCTGAATATACGGGATTGGTTTTGTTTGTTGTTGAAAAGCGAACTGTGACCTTTAATTGCTTAAATCCATGTCATTTTGACCTTAGTTGACGATTGCCTTATTAGAAATCATACCACATCTCCCTGATTTTATATCAACAGTAATTTACAACAAAGGAAAAAAGACGGCTAAACATAACATCTTAGTTGTCCTTTGAATGCACTATACGGACATAATGCACTATCAAATCATGACATTCCACAGAAAAATTATTCATAAAAAACGCCAAGTAATATACTGAACAGATATATATGCACAGAATCATCTTAAAATAATAACTTGGTCTGAACATTGTTATAAAGCAAATTATGAATGTTAATCAAGTAATGTTATACACAAAAAAAAAACGTACGACAACTGTTATAAAAGAGGGACGAAAGATACCAGAGGGACAGTCAAACTCACAGATCGAAAACAAAACTGACAACGCCATGGCCAAAAATAACAGATACAGCCACTGACTACATGTTCCTTAATTCATGACCGGGGCATGGAATGAATGAGGTGAGAATTAGCATGTTTGGACATCCCGATCACCACATACCCCCACTTCGTTAAGTGGAAATACAACAAAACAGGGATGTACACAAATCACCGTGTACGGATTTTAGTAGAGAAAAGGTAAAATAAAAAAATTACTGAACTCCAAGGAAGATTCAAAACGGAAAGTCCCTTATCAAGTTATAAAATCAAAAGCTCAAACACATCAAACGAATGAAAAAAACAACTGTCATATTCCTGACTTGGTACAGGCATTTCCTTATGTAGAAAATAGTGGATTAAACCTGGTTTTATAGTTAGCTAAACCTCTCACTTGTATGACAGTTATATATAATTCCATT